AAAAAAAAAAAAATTGCACTCCTAGAAACCCAATGGAAAGACATGGTAATAGGTATCTATGAAGATGTAAAACCTGATGTCAGTGATTAAGTACTTGACTAGTAACTTTAAAAGCCAGTGATTCAAACTAGCTTGCCATCCCATAAGAGAAATACATGACAGTTTGCTTCTGTAAAGATTATAGCTTTGGTCCGCTATGGGAAGCTGTTCTCTATCCTATAGGGAGGGTCCTTGTGAATCAGAATCAACTCAAATCACAACAGGTTCCGTTCTTTTGTTTCATCAAGATATAAACTTGAAGAAATTCAATGTATCACTATGATACTGAATATTTATAAATCATCCCAAATCTATTAGAGAAATAATTGTTAATAATTATATATTCCAATAATAAACTAACAAAAATCCATGAAAATAGTCGATTGACATGTTGACTGCTGCAGTGGGTTCTAGTGTGTCAGAAAGTGTGAGAAGTCTGTTCTTCATAGGGTCACTAAGGGGTCATATTTGACTCAAATGTACTTACCAACAACAACAACAATTAAGATAGTGACTTCAGAGCAGATTTAATGACATAGAAAAATGTTCATGTTAAGGGTTGAATTATGTCCTCCACCAAGCATGTATTATAAATCCTAACCTCCAACGACGTGGACAAAGGAGCCTTAGTGGCACATTCAGCCAGTCAATGAAAGGTTGATGGTTAAAACCCACCCAGAAGCTCTCCAGGAGGAGAGATCTGCTCCCACAGACGTGGTAGCTTAGGAAACGTTATATAACAAGTCTGGTCCATCTCATGAGTCTGTCAGAGGTGAAAAGTAACCGAACCCAACACAGTCCATACAGCTGTGATCCCGCTTGGGAAAAGTGCTATCTTTGCTATATTCATAAGACCAGATTAGTATAAAGTGAGTCTTAAACATGCTGAAGATATAAAGGACACACATTAGGCACAAAAGAAAAATATTCAGGCCAAAGAAAGAAGGTTCAAAAATCCAGAAGAATGTAAGCTGAAAAGTCACAAAGGCTTTCTCCCAAAGTCAACAATGGTGGAAACGTTGTCCGAGAAATAATGCCATGAATTCAAACTTCTAGTCCCCTAAACTGTGAGGAAATAAATTTCTGTTTATTAAAGTCAAGCATTTGTGGTAATTCTGTCATGGCAACACTAAGAAACTAAAACAGTACAAATTAAAAGTCAGGAAAACATATAATTCTAAATTAGTAATACAGAGATGGGTAAATGCCTGTATATATTTACTCACCTAAAAGTCTGAAAGTCTTTCTAAAGCAAGGTTATATTTGTGTGTTTGGGTGTAAATATGTGTGTGTGTGTGTGTGTGTGTGTGTGTGTGTGTGTGTGTGTGTATCGATAGATA